GTCAATTGCATGGCAGCTATATAAGGTATAGCAGGTTCCAAACACGGCAACAGTAGATACCGCGAAAAAGACGTGAAGAGGTGCCACCTTTGTGGGGTTGTCACAGGTTGTGTTGACTATGGATACAGCATGACGCCGATCAACGTTAGCAAAAAAAATCTCCCCGGTATGGTACCCTTTTAGTGCGCAATGATGCGATGTGAATCTCGTCCAAGCTCACCATCCCCTCTGAATCTGAGCTCCATCAAGCTGGCTTTCATGAGAGCTGAATTTTGAAGCTTTAAGCCTCATCCGTCATCCTCACTTGACAGGAAATCCGCCCGCACCGAAGGTGCCGAAGCGTTTTATGAGGCTCGCGTTATACCGCAAGTACCACAAGTAGTACTAATAGCTTTAGCTAGGGGGGGGGAGGCCATTTTCGCTCTAGAATCCTGTGTTCTTCACGTTTTTGGAACCGGCTTGAAGTGCTGGAAGATAAATTCGTGCTTCTAGTGATGCAAGAAATGCAAGCTTCTGCTTTGCATCATCTGCATCATCTGAGCGGTACATAGCTCTAGAAGTCACTATCTAACGGACGTGTCTGCGAGATAGGTACTTGAACGTCGTAAACATGGCCGAACGGGACTGGAATAGAGTGAAGATAATAGGGACTTGAACGTCGTAAACTGGAATAAAAACCCTCCCCCTAACGTGGCCAAACATAGCTTCTATATTGTCTGACATAGCTTTAGAAGTGATATTTGGCTACAGAAGCAGAGACAAGCAGAGATCACATCCAGGAACAGTAACATTTTCGTACGAGCAGAGCGTGCGTATGATCGAACATAGCCCCAGAAGTCACTATCTCAAGCATGCTTCTTCGAGATAGGGACTTCAACGTCGTAAACATGGCCCAACGAGGGCTCAAAAGGGACTGGAAAAGCCTGCAAAGTCACGATCAACGTCACTATCCTCGAGATAGGGATTTGAACGTCCGGGTACATGGCTGGTCAGGAGCAGAGATAAGGAAAGATAAGGTGGTCAGGAGCAGAGATAAGGAAAGACAAGGTCCAGGAATGGTAACATTCTCACGAGCATAGCTCCCATATGGTCGAACATAACCCCAAAAGTCACTATCTCAAGTATGCTTCCCCGAGATAGGGACTTCAACGTCGTAAACATGGCTCAACGAGGGCTCAAAAGGGACTGCAAAATATCAAAGTCACTATCTTAAGCATGTCTCCTCGAGATAGAGACTTGAACGTTGAATATGGAAACTATGTCGGGCCACGTTAGGAGAACCGTTACCGTTAATTGACCTTATCTCTGCTCCTGTTGAGCCGAATGTCCGGCCTATCTTGCGCGATCTTGAGCTACCTTGAGAAAAGATACCTCAATTTGCGACGTTCAAGTCCCTATCTTCCTTTCATACTGACTCCCTTGGCTCCAAGAGCACAAGACCCCGTTCCAGATCGTGTTCCTTCCTGCAGCTCTCTCACCGCTTACCCGACCCGCAAAATGGCAGCAGTCTTTTAACCCCCCAACTACGTTGGTTGGGCCATGTTAAATCCCTATCTCGAAACATGAAAGGGGGGGGGCCACTTCCGGGGCTATGTTCGGTGGAAATATTCTCCCCTTCCATGCGGTGCGGGCGGTTCCGTCGCGAAGCGACGTGAATATACATATATATATATATACTGTATAGGTTTTCGTCCTTTTGGATCTAGACTGGGTTACTCAGAGTTTGTTTTCGCTAACGGGTTCTGTAACAGTCCCGTGGATTTTTGCGTTGCTTGTCGTGCGCTTGCGTCTGCGCACGCATTTGTGATGTGCAATATATAAGGTTCGATTGTACGTGTATATATATATATGTGTGTGTCACGTTATACCACTGGATGTTGATGTAGTCGGATCACAGCTTGTAGACGGCCGTGGGGTTTTTCTATGTTATTTGCAGTACCTGTCTGGTTTCCTTGAAGGCTACGCGCATGCTATGGTAGAGTTATTTTTCCGGAACTGACTTGCTTTGTAAGAACATGAGGTGGGGTGGGGTGGGGGCAATGACAAACGTGCAGCTCTTCTCTGGGGCGAGGGGCTCGGCCGCTTTTCAACTGAGCCCCTCAACAGCTAGTGTCACCGAAGCATCCGGTTGACACTGTCCTGCTCACAGCCATTGTTCTCCCAACGGACGAACCTGGAATAATGACTGCGATGCAAGCACCCACAAGCAAAGTTTCTAGTACAGCGCCTGTCTTCAGACCAGCATCCGATCCTGTAGTCGCCTCTGGCTGTTGTATATGCCTGGGGGAGAAGGAGGGGGGAAAAGAAAACTCTGAAACTAGCGTAAGCCAAACACGCGTGAAGCGACCCTGGTAGCATACAAGCCCCCAGCTCCACGGCCGTGGCGCTTGCCCCGCCTAAGAGGGCAACATTTGCACCAAAGCACTAGGCAATTCCTGGGGTGCCCTGCAGCCACTCGCCGTCATAGCACCTTCCATCTGGCCATGTGAACTTGCCCATGCCATGCTTCAAATCCTGCCCGCCACACTGTCATGTATGCGGCAACATGACCCTTGCAATCGGGGTGCGTTGCACCAAGGCCAAGGACACCACCTCCAGATATTCACCTTCATAACACATGTCACCTGCCAAGCAGCGTGTTCCATCACAAACTAAACAAAAACAAACAAATAAATAAACAAACAAACAAACAACCAAACAAACAAACAATCAAACGAATTCAAGGATCAATCACCTGTGCAACCTACAGATTTGAGCCAACAGTGAGGTTGGCAGTCTTGGGGCGCACGGTCAGTGATTGGAGCTCACATGCAGAAGAATTTCGTCAGCGCCTACTCGACACAGTGCGTGACTCTAAGACCAGTTGAAAGCAGTCAGTATGTCACTACACGAATCTCTTCAGTTCAAAAAAAAGCAGCGCTCAGCTCAGTCCTCCGACCGTTCCATCTTCACAGCGACGCCGTCAACGATTTAATGCACAGTGATCTTGTACTTCTCGGCAGTCACCGTGGCGTGATCTTGAGCAGTGCGCTCAGAGGCCTCTTCAACAGTGCCATAGATGACATCGCAGTGAGAATGCTTCAGTGGGCCTCCATGCGTCTTCAGAATGGACACTCGCACCGCCAAGTGAGCAAGTAGTCGTCGACAGCGCAGTCCAAAAGGTGCAGCGCCGTTCAGCTCATGGCGAAGCGGTGTCAGTTGGTTCACAGTGAAGCTCAGTTGACTGGCAAGTCCAGATGCCAGTTCAGCCCCAGTGGCAGTGGCAGTAGTTTGAGACTCTGAGCAGCATCAGCTCCATGCACAGTGTGTCCAGCGATCCTCGCCAGTGAAGGGTTGAATGCCACAACGACCAGTGGCTCATTCATTTTCCATCGCTCAGCGCGATGGCCCTCTTCCAGTACATCTGCAGTGTCCGCAGCAGTGCTGAACGTGGAGTGAACTATAAGTTCAGCGGGCCATTTGCAAGCAAAGTGGTGGGCGCAATTCCAGTCTTCAGGATTTCAGTGGCGATGCGCAGTGGCGCAGTGAACATCACAGCGGCTTTTGACTGCTCAGTATGGCTATGCTCTTCCCGGCAGTGGAATCAGTGTGGACAGTGATGTTTACCGTTTTTGCCAGTTTTGCTTCAGTGTTCATGTTCTTGACAAACAGCGCTTCGCTTGCGTCTTGTCCTATTGCGTACAGTTCGGCTTCTCCCGAGCTCAGCGCGAATGCGCCTTGCGTCCTGCTTCCCAAAGAAAGAGTTGAGTTCAGTACTTGAACAAAAGTTCCGCTTGCACTTTTCCTAGTGGTCCGACAGCCAGCCCTTTCAACATAACAGTCGGTCCGTCGTGTCGGTGTCCACCTAACAGTCTGAGCCTGACAACATCACACTTGGACACAGTCGTTGACAGTACCCCCCAGTACCAGCAATGTACCTCAGCAAGTGTTTGACCAGATCCGTGCAAGCCACAGTAACTTGGCTATTGTGCGATCGCTCGCGTTCAGTGGTTGTGGCGCAAGAGTTGGTTTGGTAGTGTTTCCAGTGGCGATCACAGGTTTTGCGTTCTGCACGCCAAGTGCTTCCAACATATTTCACATACGTAGTAGACATCGTGATGTCAATGCTGCCGCCGTTGCGTCGCACGGTTCTACCTAGAAAGTTGACAGAAGTCTGTGGTTGAAACTATGTTCAAGATTCAAAAACACTTCATCTGACAATTGTTCGCTGAACGATTCGGTCGCAGTTTGCGCAAACAAGAAGATCATCAGCATAACACAGTACGTACGCGTCGATGGAACCCCAACGAAGCCATCGTTTTGGCGAAGTGGGTCTGCCATAATGCAGGTGCTCGTTTCAGCCCGTACACAGCCTGCTTCAGTAGCCGCAAACGGCCAACAGTTGTTTTCAGGATAGAACTTAACAGGCGGTCGCATGAACAGTCGCTCCGTCATTGGCGCGCGAAGAAAAGCAGTTGAAACAATAAGAAGAAGAGCTCGTAAAGTCACAGAGCGGGCGTCGACGCAAACATGTCATCAGTGTCCATTTCTCCTTGAAAACATCCGCGTGCAACAATCTACATCTTACCTTACGTGGAGTCTTCCTATGCTTTACCCATTTGCAGTCTAGCCGCATTGTCTATTGTTCTCCAGTGGAATCTCATCAAACACATCGAAGCCATTCATGGATGACATCTCAGTCATCATGCCTTCTTTGGCTTCTTCTTCTTCTTCAGTGAACTCAAACGACAAACGATCGGAGCACTGTTTGACTTGCATCAATGCACTGCATGTGTTGCAACTGTGGCTGTAGGTGATTCTGAGATTACCTGTTTCCACAAAGGAAGACACTGAAGAGATCAAGCAGGAACTCGGTCTCACTGAACCATGCTTGATGTACGTCAAACCTCGTGTCCTGTGTTTTTTCATCTGGCAGTTCATCTTCAGTTTTGCGTTTTGGACTTCCAACGCATTCAGTCGGAGGCAGTCTGACTTCCGCTGAACCTTCAGGAAGTCACTTCACTCATTCAACATCCTCTTCTGCTCCAGAGTCTTCTGGTGCGATGGATGGATAATATGATAAGTTGCCATAATCCGGAACAGCTTCAATCGTTTCACGCTCAAGTCCGGGTGGTTCACGGATGCGTCCAGTGATGCTCAGTGAAGGCGGAAGGACTAAAGACGTGTCAGTAGTGTCCTTGCCTTTCGGGTCCCAAGAGTCACATTCAGTGCTTTGCGCAGTACTTTGTTCCATTGTTTCGAAGGAACGACTCGACTCGACTCGACGCACGCACAGTGTCTGCGCGTGAAACAATTTCCAAACACTAGAGATTCATCTGCTTCGGTGTCCTTTCCTAACCAAATGCCTTCCTGCCACGCAGTGTCAGCTTTGTCGGGCAGTTTTCCAGGCAGTCTGAACAGAACAGTTTCTCCGAGTTCGCAGAGTCCAGTTTGGTAGTCTTTTTTCCATCTACGACAGTTGAAGTCGAAGAGTCCTCACTTGTCCAGTGTCTGTTGCATCCTTCCAATGGAACCATGCGCTTGCTTCCAGTCCTTAGGAGTCGCTCGAACGCCAAGTTGGTTCACGGTGTCAGTGACAGTGACCAACGTTTTCAAGGTTTTGTCACATTGCGGGATTCCAAAAATCTGCCAGTCTCATAAATGAATTTCTTCAGTTCAGCTAGTCTGAGCATCAGTCGCATTCAGGATTGTCCGTTGTTGAACATCCTGCCCAGTTGTAGCGAACAAGTAGTCTGTTGCGCAGTTGGCTCGTTAGGACTAGGCCGTGGCAGTGCTTTAGCATCGCGCACCGCTTTGTCGTGCGTTTCTTGTTCAACAATGACTTCCGCTTGGGATTGTTCGAAAACAGTGAAGCCAGTCCAAATGACAGGCGGCACCAGTGCCTCAGTCTGATCCTCAGTTCTCCACATATCCCTGTGAATCTTTCCGTTTCAGTCGGCACTTGTACGGAAGAAAACCGTCGTTCTCAATTGTCCTAAGTCCGAGCGGTCCGGTCCGGTGTTGTCCGGAGTGAACAAGTCTTCTCGCGCAGCGTGGTGAAAACGAATCCAGGCAACAGGCGCGCGTAACCAGTAGTCTGGTGTCCGATCTCCTCCAGTCCAGCTTCAGGGTCTGGGGTCTGAACAATGTCAACAAGAGTGCTTTGAACTCTTCATCACCCCAGTTCTTGCGCGTCAACAGTTTGGCAATATACAATTTCGTGAATCATTGCGGGTGATCGGATACACGACCAGCGTCGACAGTTCGTCTGTCTGTTTCGCGCGTTTCAGGCTAAAGTTGGCTTGAGCGGGCTCAGGCCGCTGTGGTGAAGTCTTCGTTCTTGCTCTCTTCAGTGGACTTTCCAACTTCAGGTGGGCCACAGTTAGGCAGTGTTCTTATTCATTTGATTTGGGTTGTCAAATGTCCTGAAATCTTCCGAAACAGTCTCTAATTGCTGTCTCCAAAGTCAAGTGTGCACCGTGAATCCTTGTCAGTGTACTTTCGCAGTGAGGTAGTATGGCTTTGGTCGAATGGTACTGATTGGTACTTTCAGTCTTTCCATTGATCTACTGCATCAATGCTCGTGTTTTGTTGTGGTAAGTTCACACAGTTGAGATCAACCTCCAGTGTGGCCATGTACTCTTCCAGCGCACGTTCACATGGACCCATGACAGTGCCATCATGGTCCACAATGGCTGGAGGGAGTGAGATACAACAGCGCGCCGTGTCTGACGCAGTTTCCTCGTCCGGCGTCAACAACTTCACCAAATCTTCACCAGGCAGCCCAATAACCTTGCAAGAGCAAACGGGCAACGGAATCTAGAGACAAAAAGGAGCGTCACAGACACTGCTACTCTGCCAGCGTCATACTTCACCAGCTTTCGTCCAAAAATTGCTAGCGATTTGCCAGTCTAGGTGGGTTCTTTCCTATACAGGAGCGGGTGTCCGGCTCATTGGACAGCAGTGAGCAGCAGCTCCAGTGTCGAAGAGTCGAAGAATCAAGTGTTCCTGTGAAGGTGTGGCTGCGACACAGCTGTCCTGGTATGTACTTAGCGCGTCACGGTAAAGACTCATGGTAAATACCAGTGTGACCATTGTGACCATGTGAGTCCGGGACATCTTGTCGTGAAGCAGTTGAAGCAGTTTCAGGAATCAGCGGTAACCGTTAAAGTTTCCCAAATGGATTCAACACAGCAACAGTGGCGAGGAAAGCGCCAACCATACCAGGCTTTGTATGTACAGCGCGCGCCTTGGGAGCAGTTCTGACATGTGAATGCGTTTCGCCAGTCTCAATGTCAGTCGCCTGAAATGACTGAACAGCTGAGACAGTGGGCGCAGTTACAGTTGAGGAAGCTCTGGTTCTAGAGGCCCCAGTCATCACTGTAACGCCAGTCAGTCCAGCCAGCTCTTCATTGTATGCGTACTCTTCGTCTTACATTCCCTCATACAGTCCTTAGACATATGTCACATGTCCATGTTGCCCACACTTTCTTTTCCTTTTCCTGTGTACGCAGCGATGGCAAATTTGCCGCTTCCAAGTTTGCCTTTTCCTTTTGGTGGCGCAAAGGACGCGTTTCCGCTTCCTTTGCCTTTCATATACCTTTCATTCCAAACGGGGAACAGTTCTCCTTTGCCTTTCCAGTTCAACAAAGTGGCAACCAAAATGTTATCAGACAATGGTGCTCCAGCTTGTCATTCATACCTAGCCTTCAGTGTTTCCCATTCGCTGTAGTCTTGCTCAAAGTGGTGAGGGTGGAATTTGAACTCCTATACTTTGGTGAGTCTGGGAGTAGACTGATATTTAGGGCAGTTCGTGGGCAGTGAAAACCGAATGCTCAATAAGCGCCATGTTCCCAAGCCATTCATACCAACATTTCCACATACTACCAGTCTGGCGCCATCAGTGGTCAGCTGAGACAGCATGTAGCGCAATTGGCGGCTACATCGAATTAAGCCAGCGTCAACGAATTGGCGGCTATCAGCTTCCAGTCTCCAGTCTCTCATCAGTGATCGGTGTTGCCACAGTCTCACGTCTTCCAGTACTTCGTGCTTGAACAGTGACACATAGGCCTTCACACACAAGCTCCAACCTTCCTGTTGCTCCATCTTTCCTGATAAATGAGTCGGCAGTGGAAGCTTGTTGCTTCCCAGTGTGTTCGATTCTCGAAGTTGGGCCGTTGCTTCAGTTCTACAGTTCTACTTTCTGCACAGTTGCAGAAGGAGGCAGAGCTCCTCTACCATGCGAAATTCAAGGATCAATCACCTGTGCAAGGTCAGTCCTACACACAGTGGACTCAGCAACTGAGCCAGGAGTGAGGTTGGCAGTCTTGGAGTGCGCAGTGGAGTGATATCTTAACACAAACAAACCAACAAACAAACAACCCAACCCAAACATAACCAAACCAAACCAAACCCAACCAACCAACCAACCAACGAAACCAACCAAACCAAACAAAAACCAAACCAAACCAACCGACCAACCAACAAACAAACAAATCTGCACGTGGTCAAAGGCAGCGCAACACTGATGCAAAAAGATGCGCTTGCCTTTCGGGGTCTTCCACACCTAAGCGAGTGAAGCAATGCAGCTAGACTTGCTTGTGGCAGGCCCCCACCCCCCCCAAAAAAAAGAAGTGTGTATGGCATGTTTACACACTGACTCACCTGTGTCGCAGACCATCTTCCCTTTGCCCGAAAAATGGCCTTTGGCGTACTGCCCTTCATAGAGGCGCCTCCGGGCACATGTGTATTCGAAGCGCCCTTTAGCCAAAAAAGAGAGCCGCCGCACAGCAAAATTTCTCGAGACTATCCAGTTCGCAACTGAAATTTTCAAGAATGGTGCGTTCAGAATTGAACCCAGTCTCTCCTTTCCAGGTGAAGGCTGAAGGCTGTTGGATTTATCAGAGCTCCTCTCCTCCTCCTTCCGGCTCCTCCTTGCCACCTCGAGAACAAGCGCCAGATCGCAGTGGGCACCACCGGACAGCCACAAGAGCCAGATCGCAGTGGCCAATTTACCGGACCTCAACAGCAAGTGCCCTCAACAGCACGCGCCAGATCGCAGTGGGCCTAAACCACAATTGCCAGAGCGCACTGGGCACTACCGGACCTCAACCGCAATTGCCAGATCGCAGTGGCCACTACCCGACCTCAACCGCACACTCTTTACCGGACCTCAACAGCAAGTGCCAGATCGCAGTGGCCACTACCGGACCTCAACAGCAAGCGCCTGATCGCAGTGGCCACTATACCGGACCTCGACAGCAAGCGCTACGTCGCAGTGGGCAGTGTCGGACCTCAACAGCAAGTGCCTGATCGCAGGGACTCAACCGCAAGCGCCTATGGCAGTGGGCACTACCGGACCCTGACGCAAGGGCAAGATCGTAGTGGGCACCCGACCATAAATGCGCCAGATCGCAGTTGGCACTACCAGACCTCAACAGCAAGCGCCAGATCGCAGTGGGGACTACCGGACTGTAACTGCAAGTGCGAGATGGCAGTGGGCGCAGTGGGCGCTACCGGACCCCGACCGCAAGCGCCAGATCGCAGTGGGCAACTAACTACCGGACGTCAACACACAACACACAACATAACCACAAACACACAATACACAAACACACACCACGACAAGCACAACCACAGACACACAAGCACAAACACAACCACTAACACAGGAGCACAAACACACAAACATCGACGCGACCATAAACACACAACCACAAACACACAAACCACAAACGCAATGACAAACACACAATCACAAAACACACAACCGCAAACACAACCACAATCACAAACAAACAACCACAAGCACAAACACACAATCGCAAAAACGCAACCACAAACACACAATCACAAACACACAACCGCAAACACAACCACAATGACAAATAACCGCAAGCACGCAACCACAAACACACAATCACACCACACAACCACAACACACAGCCACGGCACACAACCGCAACAATTTTATTACCTTTGTTTGTGGCATTTTGCCGGGCAGGTGGTCACAAGGTAGCGCTTTTGAATGCCAACTGGAGACCCTGGCGACACCCCGACGCGAACTCCCTAACACTAAAACAACAATCCCAAGCCCGAGGACCCAAAAGCAAAATCGAAAAAAAACACAAAACTCACGACCATGGCAACATGCTCCTCAGCCCGGCATGAAAACAAATGATTGAAATGTCATGGTGGGGACCGATCACTCGAAGTACAGGCACTGCTCTCATTTGCACATGTTTGGCCTGATTCTTTTTCATGTTGCCTGCCTTCTGTGATGTATCTTAAATACGCTCTGTAAATATTTACAGTATATGTATATATATGGTTTCACCCGCAAGAAAATATGGCACCACTCCCGAAAAACGCAAAAGAACATAATTCGGTCGACTTGGGGGCACCATAGTACACATACACGTTAACACGCGCATACACACGCGCATACGCACGCGCATACATACATACATACATACATACATACATACATACATACATACAT